TAAGCTGATCCGATTATGAGTTTGTGGTTATCAGATGGATCTGGAATCGAGACTACAATTCGAATAAAAAACTGTGATTTTAAAAAGACAGACAAACCCCAGTAATTAAGCATACGCTTGATGGTATCATGTTTAACGCTATAAATTTTTAAGCAAATTTAGATCTAGATTTAACATAAAATGTATATCTATGAATCCAGCACCGTGATGTCTAGCTTTGGATTACGCTTTGGATTACGCTTTGGATATTCTCATCTTTCGTGTGGCATCATTTGTTAATAAACTTGTGAAAAAAGTACAAATAAAGAATCTGATATTAGCATATCTTTATCAGGAAAATATTTTTATTGTCGCACTAGGAATTAAAAGCAGATAAAAAACACTTGTAAAAGGATGAACTTAAAAAATGGGCGTTTAAATGTGCATACCTGCTTAAATTTTATGAGTTGTGTTCACCTTATTTTGCGTTAGGAGATGAAGGACTGGGGGCTGAATTTTTCCATAATATTATGAGTAGATATAAAGTTTTAAATTTAATTTGCATAGCCTTGCTTTCCCAAAAGGTATTATTATCTAGGGTGGACTGCAGTTTTGACCTTGCCCAGGTCCTTTCAACATCCCCAGCGGGACTCGAATGCATAGATCTAATTTACTTGTAGTCCCGAAGACCTATTCCAAACGAAATATGCTTACATTTTGATGAGGACTAAGAAATTAGCAGCAACAATCTCTTCAAGAATAGCCGCATATGCATATTTTGAAAGCATTTTCATTCATTTTGTAGATTTTTAACATTTTATCCTTCGTTATGCCTCATCAGGATATAATATAAAATAGGTGTCAGCATCACAGCAAGCATCGGTGCAGCTACGTTGAGGCTTCGTCAATATTGTGATGAACATCGTCTTAATGACTGTCCTTGGCAGACAATCGTTCGCTTACATAAGGAATCCGATTGTTGTCATCTGTCAAATTTTGTTGCAGAGATTACTAGTCATTATATTCAAGACGAGGGAAGAAATTTGATATTGCACTGAAAATCTATCGTCCATGAAGTGTAGACTCAAATTTTTACTTCAGTTCCACCTTATTGCCTAAGCGGTGTTGTATGCGAAGAAAATTTGAGTTTTGAGGAATCTCTTGTTTCATAATTGTTGAGCTTACTTCCATTTCGAGTGAAAGCGTTGGGTGAAGAGATTCGAAGGTCGGTTCCACCAGAAGACGACGGCGGATTCCTCTTGACCAGCTGTCGAACTTTACTGGAAGATTCATGCTGACGCTGTTTCCGAGGCAATCTCCTTCGATTCCGGTGAACCCGTGCTGGCTTGACTTGCAATCTTACCAGCGTAATCAGATCGTAGATATGAAGGCCAAGATGGTGTGGCCTTCTGTTTGGTAAATAGTTAAATTGTATAAACAAATAGGGCACAAGACCTTAGAATATTTAGAAAGTTAAAAAGCTGTCAGCAACATCTATTATTAGAAGAGGTGAAGCTATAAATTCCCAATCGCAAGCGGTATCAGAGTGTCAATAGCAACAAGTAATCATTTCCAAAGATATGAAGACCAAGATGGTGTGGCCTTTTGTGTGGTCGCAGTCTCCTTTCGTTGTATAGAAGTT